GGAAGGTTTTGTCCTATCCTACCCGTTCGGCTAATGACCCTCCACTAGTCAAGAGTGTGGTGGGTAAGAGTGGATACCCATTCAATCGCCATTTTATAGGCAATTTCCTTAAACACCCCTTATAGACCAACTTCGTGAATGAGGCCTACTAACGGTAAGACTGACTTTTTACTCACATATATATATATATATATATATATATATATATATATATATATATAATATTAGACTTTTAATGTTACATATAATATAAGGGTATAATTTATACTTTTAAAATACTAGGTGGTCTAATTTAATAAATTATACTTTTAATTTAGTTAAATGTAACCAAAACTTTATGGAATTATTAACTCTCTTTTAATTATACATTTAATTAACTTAATAAGACCATAAGGATGTAATTTGAACTTTTCAAAAATACTAGGGTTTTAGAATTTAATAATTCAACATTAAACTTTTAATCAAATTTTAAATTCTAAAACTTGAGGGTAAGTTTTGAAATTTTTTAAAACATTATGGTTTAACTATTTAAATTTCAAACCTAAAACTATTAAGTTCAAATTTAAAACTCTAAAACCTTAAAGGTGTAAGTTGAAACTTTTTCAAACTTTATCAAGAACATTCTAGATCAATAATTCAAATAAAACAATTAACAATTAACTGGTGGTTATCTAATTTTGACCTAGTCCAATTATATGCAAGATAATTCACCAAATAACTTAAATAATCAAACATTATCTTATAAGGCAACAAATATTTGATTAATTGGTAATTATCTTCTATTTTGGTAAGGATATTCACCCAAAATCAATAAAAATCAGATTTTATCAATTAAAAACGTTTGGTAATAATCCTAAGCCAAAACAACAAGAAAATCGCGAAAATCAGTTGGCAGACTCGCTGACTCGTCTAGTCAGCACTGGACTCGTCGAGTACCCAGTGGACTCGGCGAGTCCAGTCATGGATTCGGCGAGTCCAGCCCTAAAAAACTCAAAATTTTTTATTTTCAATTAATATTCAATCAAATAAGCATCAAATTCATCAACAAACATCCCTAGGCTTTGATACCACTAATGGGTTTTGAGCACTACATCATTCCTATGGTGTACATGCAAACCCTAATGCTTCGGATATAGTTTGTCTAATGCACATGCAATTGAATTATCCAAAGCTATAAACCCTAGATATTACATATTATAAACCGAATTAGGGTTTAGAGAATACCTTTGATTGTTATGTTGCAATAACAATCTATTCCTCCTTGTAATTGGCTTCAGAGTGCTTAGTGCCTCAAGTGTTGCACCTCTAATGGAGTTACAAACACCACTAGCAATAAGGATGAAGGAGGAGAAGAGAAGAGGCACCCAAAAACATCTAGAAACCCTAAGGAACCAGTTGGCCACGTTTTTGGTGCCTAGGGGTCCTTAAATATGTGTGGCTATTATGGTTTTGAACTTAGGAAACCCTAATCTGACTGCTTAAGCTCTAAGCAGTCCATGGACTCCCTCCTTAGAGGCCTTGGACGATTTCTTATGGGTTTCCCCATAGAATTCATCCACTCCATCCTCTATGGAGTCCATTAGCCCAATATTCAACTATCACACAATTGACAGTTCTAGTCCCCTTTATTTAGTTAATGTCTTTTAGCCACAAAATTAATTATCAATTAATTCTTGACTAATATTAATTAAACAATATGATTTCTCCTTTAATATATTATTCTTATAATATATTAATAAATCATAATTAATATACTCTCTCCTTAATTCTTCCTACAAGTTGCTATGGTGAAGGCAACCCAAAAGGACCATGCTCATAATCGGGTCAAGTACATACCAAAATAGTTATGGACTTAGACACTAATCCAACACCAGGAACCGGGTGTTACATACTACTTCTGAATGAGTTAGAAAATTATAACCCCTCTATAGGGTTATGTAATTTTTTGACTTATTCCTTATTAGAGATTTCCTTGTTTTGCTTATTGGAGTCTTGGTCTGAAAACAATAGAGGGATTCTCCTTTAGGTCATTCACCGTTTCCAAGAGTTGTCAACTATATGGTCTCAATCAAAAGATCACGATGTAAGTGTTTTTATGCTTTTCTATAGTTAAATTCGAAAGTAGGTTCCTATAATTAGTAAAAGCTATATCATAGGGTGCATATACGCATATGTATTAATTTGGTTACTCCATTGCGCTAATATAATATGTATTGATGTATAAAAACCCAACGTATGAATAGGCTAACATCGGCCCATTAAGCAAGAGATTTGCAGATTCGTATACACTTGAGGCAACCAAGGATAAATGACACAAAAAAGAAGAACAATTAGAGATGAATAAATATTGAAAATGGAATTGAAAAGGAACAATATGAGAGAGAGAGAGAGAGAGTGAGTGATTGTTTGCTTTAATGCTTACACATGATAAATCAATTGAGCCTCAACAACCTGCTCGATAAATAGATTTGGGTAAGTGATGTTATAGAGACTTTCACAGAGTAAAGGGGAGTCACCATTACTAATACCACCGTCATTTATGCGACTCATCAGAAGAAACAATAGAACATCTCTTGATATCTTGCACATTCATGGTATCGATTTAGAGTCAAATAGGCAACTACTGCGTCTCGGATAAAGGAATCAATCAACTAACATTTAAAGATCTCTTAAGGATGCTACATCCGTTAGCCAAGTCAACAAAAAGACAAGATGTTGAGCACAATCTTAATTGCTTATTGTGGGCTTATATCAGAATCTAGGAACTCCAAAGTATTCAGTGGCAAAACAACTTCTCCACCAATGGTATCGGAAGAATCAAATACACTTGCATATGTTTGAGTACATGGCGTATAAAAAATACTTTAAAGTGGAATTTATGGTGTCTTTTTTTTTTCAAGCATATGTCATGAGAATAATAGTAAGAATATACCCATAACACCTTCTAACTTTAATAAAATCATCCATGTAAAAAGAAGCTAATATATTATATGTATTCTTTTTGATCATTTTACATTTATAAGAAGTTTTTTGCTAAACACTTCAAAGACTACTTATCAATTTATTGCGTTTAAACTTATTCGTTTTTTTAAGTACTCTTTTCTATTACAATATAAGTTAATAAATACTTTTACCGAAAATACCATCTATTTTCAAACTCAATAAGAGACTGTCATAAACCAGGAATGAAGATAGTCTAAACTTTATTCCGTATATATATATATATATATATATATATATATATATATATATATATATATATATATATATATATATATATATATATATTCTTTTTTTATGTACATATGACATTTAAATTATTTTTTTACACATTTAATTACTTGTGTATTTTTTATCACATATATGACCCATAAATCTAATGGTCGTATATGTGAAAAAAAATTAACTATCATATGTAAAAGTAAAACAAATTTAAAGGTTATATATAAAGAAAATAACTTAGTAGAATAACTATGTTTCGAGTTCAAAAAACACTACTTAAGTTTTGTATAAAAAATATCAACAACTATATTTTGTGCAAATGCCACTTTACAGTAATTGATATTTATAAACGAATGACAAAATATCACCCATAATAATTACTTAATGATAAAATATTAAAGAATCACAAATACCTAAAGAGCATAAAGAGAAAAAAAAAATTGGTTTATATTTTTGCGTTTGTTTTTGCAGAAGGCAAAAGTAAAAATAAAAAAAAATAAGGGAAAATGACTCTTGAGGGTAATTAACTTTTGCGTTTGTACTCATTTGGTCCCTTTTTTTTTTTGTATTTAATATATCATCGAACTTGTTGTTGGTGTTTACCATAGCCCTTTTGACCGGCTTTTGACCTGTGATAGCCGGTCAAAGGGTTATGGTGAACACAAACAACAAGTTCAATGGTATATTGAGTACAAAAAAAAGGAAAGGGACCAAATGAGAACAAACGCAACAGTTAGTTACCCTCCTGATTCATTTTCCCTTTACTCGTTTACAACAAATCCCACATCATCTCCTACTGATATTAATGACTTTATGAGATTCATTAATGCTTCTCTTCAAAACATAACCTATGAAAGGACATTATTCATACATGTACAACTTTGTAATGCACTTGAATATTTATTAGGGAAATCTTGACTAAGCAGACGCATTTCATGACTACATTTACATTTCCAATCAAATGATTTATCGTATCATGGATTCTAGACAAGTCTACAAACGAGTAGAATCACAAGTGCTATCATTTTTTAGTTTACTTAGCTTTAAGATCGAACTCATGGGATAAGATACAACATCAATATGTACAATATTATGGTGATGTGTCTACAAAAACAGCATGATATTGTACATATTGATGTTGTATCTTATCCCATGAGTTCGATCTTAAAGCTAAGTAAACTAAAAAATCACAGCACTTGTGATTCCACTCGTTTGTAGACTTGTCTAGAATCCATGATACGATAAATCATTTGATTGGAAATGTAAATGTAGTCATGAAATGCGTCTGCTTAGTCAAGATTCCCCTAATAAATATTCAAGTGCATTACAAAGTTGTACATGTATGAATAATGTTCTTTTGTAGGTTATGTTTTGAAGAGAAGCAAAAATGAATCTCATAAAATCATTAATATCAATAGGAGATGATGTGAGATTTGTTGTAAATGAGTAAAGGGAAAATGAATCAGGAGAGTAACCAACTGTTACGTTTGTTCTCATTTGGTCCCTTTCCTTTTTTTTGTACTCAATATACCATCAAACTTGTTGTTTGTGTTCACCATAATCCTTTGACCGGCTATCACCGGTCAAAAGAGCTATGGTAAACACCAACATCAAGTTCGATGATATATTGAATACAAAAAAAAGAAAATAGACCAAATGAGTACAAACGCAAAAGTTAATTACTCTCGGGAATCATTTTCCCAAAAAAATAAATAAATAAAAAATCCTAAAGAGCATAAAAAGAAGAAACAGGGTCGTTTTTAGCTCCTCTTTATTCACTTATTACATAACCTTCGTCACCATCGTACGCCCACCCTTCCCCCTTACCCTAATAACCTCCCAATCTCACTTCAGATTGGAATCGCATCAACGCACATCCACCAGCCATGGCGATGCGCCACCTCCTCAAGCTATCTCGCCGCTCTCACCGAGCTTTAGCAGCCACCACCACCATCTCCAGATCCGCTTCGACCGCCACCGCCGTCTCCAGCGTCTCCGACACGCCCACACCAGCTCCACCACATCCTCATCAAATGATCTACGATCGCGTTGCCGAAGAAGTCAAATCGAAGCTCAAGCGACTCGAAAACCCCGACCCTAGGTTCCTCAAACACAACTCGCCTTACCCTACCCTAACCGATCACACATCTATCCTCACCTACCCCGAGACTCGAGTCACCACTCTTCCTAACGGTCTCCGTGTTGCCACCGAGTCTAATCTCGCCTCCCAGACCGCTACCGTTGGGGTATGGATCGATGCAGGGTCAAGGTTTGAGACGGAAGAGAACAATGGTGTTGCTCATTTCCTCGAGCATATGATATTTAAAGGGACATCGAAAAGATCGGTTAGGGATTTGGAGGAGGAAATTGAGAATATGGGAGGACATTTGAATGCGTATACATCGAGGGAACAAACAACTTATTACGCCAAAGTCATGGGAGGAGACGTGCCTAAGGCGCTTGATATTCTATCGGATATATTGCAGAACTCGACTTTTGATGAAAGATTGATCAATCGTGAGCGTGGTGTTATTCTACGTGAGATGGAAGAGGTTTGTGTGTTTGCACTCCTTTTTGCCTTAATTAAATTTGGTTTGTAGGCTAAGATTAGAATCAGCACTCAGTTCCAACTACAGCTATATGATAATAATGTAGAAGCTGTTTTACTGAATGTATATGTTATTTCAGGTGGGAGCACAGACCGAAGAAGTAATCTTCGATCATTTGCATGCTACTGCATTCCAATACACTCCCCTTGGAAGGACCATTCTTGGACCTGCTGAAAACATCCAGAAGATAACAAAGAAAGATATTCAAGATTACATTTCAACCCACTATGCAGCTCACAGAATGGTATCCAACTCAAACTTCAATCTTTCTACAAACCATTTTTAGTATAGTTGGGTTGTGAAGTTATCAACATAGTATGCTGTAAAAATGTTATCTGTCACAGGTAATTTCAGCTTCTGGGGCTGTTAAACATGAGGAACTTGTAGAGCAGGTGAAGAGCATGTTCACAAAACTATCAGCCAATCCCATGACCACAACACAATTGGTAGCCAAGGAGCCTGCAATTTTCACTGGATCAGAGGTTTGTGTTACTGTTTTGGGGTCTTGAAATCATGACATTTGAACAGATAATTCTTTTCCTAGATTAATAAATTAAAGTGATTATGTTACTCAAACTTTGAACTAATCAGGTTCGAATGAGGGATGATGATATGCCTCTTGCTCAATTTGCTGTCGCCTTTAATGGAGCATCATGGACAGATCCTGATTCTATTGCTTTGATGGTGATACAAGCTATGCTTGGATCATGGAACAAATCTGCAGGAGCTGGGAAACATATGGGGTTGGTTTCATTTCATCTTTCTTCGATCTTCAAACCTCTCTTATTATTATTATTATTTTTTTTTAAGCTTGTAAATTTGTTTTTATTATTTTAGTATTAAAATCCTTAATTGTTTACAGCTCACAGCTTGCTCAGCTGGTGGGGATTAGTGAACTTGCAGAGAGCATGATGGCTTTCAACACCAACTATAAAGACACTGGGCTATTTGGTGTTTATGCTGTTGCTAAGGTGAATCTTTGTTATATGAAAAAAAAAGAACAATTTTTTTTAATCTTTTTGAATTAAAGATTGTGAATTATGTGTTTTTCTTTGTAGCCTGATTGCTTGGATGATTTATCTTTTGCAATAATGCAAGAAATTAGCAAACTTTGTTACCGAGTCACAGACGATGATGTTATTCGTGCTCAAAATCAGGTAACTCAGGGTAGTCTGAGTTTAATCATTATTTTATCTTATGTAACAAATTTTATAAAATTTTGGAGGTTTATTAAATTACAATTTGTAACTATTTGCACAGCTTAAATCTTCATTGCTTCTTCACATTGATGGAAGCAGTCCTATTGCAGAGGACATTGGACGACAGGTACACCAGATATTATATTATATTATTATAAAATGTATATTATTAGTTTTTAATGATTTGAAAATTTGATTTTTGCAGTTGATTACTTATGGACGTAGAATCCCATTTGCTGAGTTATTTGCAAGAATCGATGCAGTTGATGCTGCCACCATCAAACGTGTAGCTAACAGATTCATATTCGACCAGGTAATTAATCAAATTTTCAAACTTAGCCCCTGTTGTTTCTTTGTTGTTCGAATTTGACCCTCGAATTAATAATTACAGGACATAGCGATTGCAGCATCAGGGCCAGTGAAGCTATTGCCAGATTACAATTGGTTCCGTCGTCGTACTTACATGCTTCGTTATTAGACACACACACACACACACACACACTTTTGATTTATTTGTGGTTGTGGTTGTGGTTGTGGCTTGTGGTCAATTTATTTTTACAATCATATGCTTTTGCTAAAATCCCTGTTTGTATGGTGGGTAAGACACAAATTTTATGATTTCTTTCCAAGCTAGAATAAAGCCAAGGCTTTTTTTGTATTGCCTCTGTACAAGTTGAATTTTTCACTTTAGACAACCAAAATGTATACTGTGCTACTGAGTACTGAATTTCATTTTATGATTTTTCTTTTTTGTGTCAATAGTGCTTTTTCTGTCTTAGATTTCACTTGGTTTAGGAGTAGAGGTTGAGGGTGTATGTCTTTGCTGTTCTAAATCTTTTATGTTTGGGATAGGATTTTGAAATGTTAAGAAAATCCAAGCTAGGGTACAAGTTCAAAAAATAAAGTTGAGGGGTTATTCTGGACAAGTTGTGAACGTTCTAGAGATTAGCCTTAGGTTGAACCACTTCGCTTCATTTAAATGACTCAAGGAAGGACCTGTTTTTTAAGGGAAAATGAATTGGAGAGGAACTAGTGAAGCATTTCTCGTTCTAGCGTCAAATTCCAATGTTAAAGCTTTTGATGTACTCTTCTTCTCCATGTTAATGCAATCTTTCAACAACATGTTGTTTGGAGCTAAAAGCTACAGTACTTACTATTTATTACAAAATTACCTCAGTCTCATATGGTAGTTGTTTTTTATTAATACAGTTCTACATCACATGTATTCATATATACTCACGTGTACTTCAAACCTAATAACTTAATGTAATTCTTAGTAGTTCATCTAATAAATGGCAACCATAATGCAAGCAATAAACCAAACAGTGTTTGATTGCACAATCAATAATAATATGCTTGCTTCATCAATCCAATGTCTATAAATTATGCATATATGTGCTCATTTTCCTACCTGTATACAACAAATCCAAAACAATTGCTTCATACATTTTTTTTTGTCATTTTTGGATCTCATATTCATAACATTCAAATTGTGAACATGAAAGAATCTTAATCTTCTAACCAGAAGTCAAGAAATTCTTGAACCAAATAGCAGAATCTTTGGCATATCTTTTCAACTTGTCATTATAATCAACAAAATAAAGTCCAAATCTTGAACTGTATCCAGCAGCCCATTCCCAATTGTCCAATAAAGACCATGCAAAATACCCCTTCACATTGCACCCATCTTCCCTGCTCATTTTACCAAAAAAATAATATTATTATTAAATTGATAATTATATTGTTATTAAAAAAAATAAAAAATTGAATTGGCTTACTTAATGGCAGCTAGCAAGTTTGTGAGATAGTCGTTATGGTATTTCACCCTTTTTTCATCTTTTAATGCGTTCTTGAGAGAGATAAATGGGCTGTTTGCGTCATCCATCCCTGTGTGAACCAAAGCATATTAGATTATTATAAGGTACAGTTATCCATAGACAAAAAAAAATAATAATAATAAAAAATTTACCATTTTCAGTGATAATGACTAGAGGATTCCCATATTTGTTCTTGACGTAATTCAATAAGCTTCTTAACCCTTCTGGCACTATGTATAACCATATAGAATTTGCCTACAAAATACAACAAACCAAACCACTATAATTATCAATAAATAATTTCTGATTAACAAAAGAGGTCCAAAAAACTCATAAAAGATTTAATGTACCCGATCGCCCATGGCTTTCCCGTCTTTCCATGCTAAAAAGAGTAAAAAAAAAAACGTATTTTTAGATCACTGGTAAAAATAATATATTACTATAATACAAAGCTCTATTGAGTTGTACATTGCAACTCAATAGTATACCCATATTTAAAACGTGTGGCTTTTGTACTAGGGTTTAGAAAAACCAAAGTAGATGTTTTTGAACGACTTACGAAGTGTAAGAGAACCCGAATCAGCAAGAGAGTCATTGAGCAAAGTACCAATGATGCTAGTGGAGTTATGCCATGCGTACCAAGTTGTGTAGTGATTTATTCCAACAAAATCTATCGAACCCTTGAGGAGATACGATTGAAGTTTAGAAAATCTTGGTAGGCGGTCTCCGACTCTAGTCCTCATTGAGCTCGGGTAATCTCCGAACATTATAGGATCAAGAAACCTGTTATTTTTTTTAAAAATCTGGTAAGCTATATATTAATGTTTTTCTTTTAAAAACGAGTTACTAGAGAAAGTTGAGAAAATGAAACTTTGAATTAAGTCCTAGCATTTTACAAATATGTCTTTATTTAATTTTTATTTTCATTTTAATAGGTGGGGATTTGTTAAACAAGTATACCATCCCAGTTGGAAATCTTGTGCTCGTTGCGTCGCGTCAATATCCTCGGTTTTATTTGAACCTGGCACGTACCACATGACATCAAATGCGACACCAATGCGCCCATTTTGCTTTGACTACATTAACAACAATGAACATGATTAACCGATTCACATATTTGTTATAAACATGACTTTTTTACTTAATTGACTTAATAAGTACATGACTTTATCATGTAAGTTATATACTAGCGTTTCTTGTTAATGTAAAAAAGTACAACTTAATAGAAAAAACAAGACAAATGGACATTTTTGTAATAAAATCGTACATTTATAAAGGTTATTGTCATTTATTCTTTCGTTAAATGCAAGGAATAACAATATATTTTTTTTACTATAGCATCCCATTTTCGTTTTATTTCTATCACAATATTGTACAGTCATTTTTTCTTATTAAAACATTATACTCTAAAAAAAAATCAATGCAATTATAACCTTCTACGTTAACTTATTTTCTTATTAGAACATCATATTTTAAATATTCTACGGTTTCTGCTCATTTATGGCAATTGAAAATTGTTTATATTTGGATGCAACTACACGTTTATTTTAAATATTCTACCCATTTGCAATTGAATTAGGACATTATACTTTAAATATTCTACCCTACCCATGTATAGTGATGAAAATTACTTTATACTTGAATGCCATAGCTACACATTTATTTTATTTTTCTATACTTTAAATATTCTATCCATTTACATCAAATACAAAGTGCTTTGTATAATTGTATTTCGATATTGTGGCTACAATCAACTAGATTTTTCAAACTGAAATATCATAATAGAAATATATGGAAGCTATAAGCAACAAATAAAGATGATGTACCTTGTATTTTCTTTTGTAGACATCAAATGCAGCTGCGTGTGAAAGAAGAACATTATGAGCAACGATGTAGGGTTCAGTCGCCGAGTTTCCAGCCCTACAAAACAATCGAAGAAGAATGGAACAACGACCAGGTGCTTGAAGCCCTACATCATACCCTTGTACTGTAAAAGTATGAGGTTCATTAAACGTCATCCAATTCTTCACCCGATCCCCAAATTTCTCAAAACACGTCTCCGCATACGTCGCAAAATCCTTACTGCATCACACAATAAAACCAAATAATCATATGAAATCATCAACTTTTGGAGTTTTTAATTTCAGATGATATAATAAGTAAGAAATATCACATGATTCGGGGGTCGAGCCATCCATTATATCTGTCTGCCAGAGCTTCAGGAAGGTCCCAATGGTAGAGGGTCACGTATGGTTCGATTCCTAGGCAGGTTTCATTTAAAAAATAGTGTAAGATTTTAATTATATTAATTTAAAGATTTTTGTGTGTGTGTGGGTTAACTCATTTAAAAATAAGTGATAGTAATGAGTTTTAATGTGTATAGAAGTGTTTAATATATTTTTTTTTTTGAAAAGTGTTAAATTATATAAAATATAAACATAAAAAATCTAATAGTTTTTTGTAACGTCCGCATATTCAAGCTGATCAATTTAGAGATAATAAGCATTAAAAATGAATTTTTTGATAGAAGATTATTTAGAATAAATAATCTTAACCAAAATATAGTATATGTCACAAAAATTCCGTACATATAAAGAACGTTGGAATCCGACTTATAACGAAGAAGTTATGACTCGTCGATGTTTTACGACAAAACCGACACAACACTGCATATCGTAAGAAGTGAATTTTTGATAAACTACTTTTTAGCCTTATTAATCTAAACGAAAATTGTAGTAAATGTTAAAGTGAGAGCGTGCATATAGAGAAAGTCCAAATCTGACTTCGTTTGAGAAAGTTATGATTTTTCTAAGATTTAGCATAGCAATATACAGCTCGAAAATCAAATTTTAGATCGATCAATTTTTAGCCGACACAACCTAAATGAGAATTGAATATCTCATTAATAGGAGCTCAATGATATAAAGATAGTTGAAAACGGACGTCAGATGACAAAGTTATGAATTTTTAACGGACTTTAACTGTCTAAGTCTGTTAAAATATAAATTTAAAAATAAATTCAAAACTAGTCAACGGAGTCTAAACGAAAGTTGTAGATCCCGTCGATACCTACGTGTGGATATAAAAGACCTCAAAAACAGAGCTCATATGTGAAAGCTACAAATTTTAAAAGATAATTAGTTTTTGAAGTAATCTGCGAGTGACTCATGATACAATCTGAGCCACTACTTCCTCACCACGACTTGCCACCAAATGGTGACATGTGGCATGGGAATGCTCAATGTTCAGCAAGGGAAAGCTCAGTGTTGGTCCATCAGACAGTCTATAAATAGAGGCGTAAATCACTTCATTTATTCATACATTCTAACCAATTCTCTCCAAAACACTCCGGAACTTTCTAAGCATTTCCCTAGCACCTCCTAGGTGTTAGTAGCGAGTCCTGAAGCACCAGAAGGCCCAGAGAAGAAGAACTTTCAACTCAGAAGTTCTACCCGCGCAGAGCCTGATTCCTCGCTAAACTCCCTTGTAAGTGAGTTGTGCTTACCATATTTTAAGTATAACTTATGTTTAAGTTCATTATCATTATTATGAACCTATAAACAAAATTTATCAGTAATTCAAATTTGTTATACTGATTGATCTACTTACGTGGATGATGTTTATGTTGTGATTTAGTGAGGTGTTTAAAGTGAGATTTTCAAACCGTATACTTCGTATACCAAACGAACCCTACCTCCGATATGATTCTACCTGGTTGTTCATTACTTGATAGATCATGAAAGTAGACTTTGAGTTAATGATGAATCTAGACTAATAATTAGTCGCAATAAATATTAGACTAAAATCTAGTAATAATGATATTATGTTTCGTTAAAGCAAAAAGAAATTGTTAGAAGCGAAGTGTTGTCCGAATTTCGAGTCATTACTTTAATATGTGAATATATAGTCCATTTCGTGAACATGATTTTAATACCAGTATTAATTAAAGTATTAAATATGTTTATGTGTGAAATATTTGATATTTCCTGAAATACATGTTAGGAGCATATTTGACAATGTGAAACTAGACATGTGAAACTGGACAAAACTACAAAATTAGTCACTGTGGTATTTCAAAAAA